CTAGTGTAATTAGAAAATTCTTAGAACGATAATGTCGTACGTTTTAGTTAACCCTTTGCACTCGCATGGTGATTCCGAAGCACGATTAAAATTATTATATCACGTTCCAAGGTAATTTTTATATTATCAAAGTTTAGTTTTAAAAAGATTATTAAAAGCGTAACTGTTGTAATGAATCGCGAGATTCAATTTCAGATGCATAAAATGCACTTTGTCATATAAAATGGAAATACTATAAGCCAGAAAGATTGTTTTAGATTCACAGTTGAAGCGGCTTCGAGTGCAAAGGGTTAATCCAAATGTTCTCTTGTATTTGTAAAATATTATTATTAATTAGGAACGATATGTTGTTGACGCATGAAATTAGGAAAGTTTGTTCATAACGTCGTTTCTGTTCTCCGAGGAAATTAATAGACAGCATTGAAAAAAAGTTCAATCTATTGCTTCGGCTTATCTTTGCACGTGAAACAATTTCCTGTCCGTTGAAACAGCCGATGCGAACTATATCCTGTTTGAACAGTTAGTTCCCTGGGCTCCTTTTATTCTGGAACATAAAGCACTATAACATCGAAGTCTCATGATTCGACTGCGGATCTTCATGCAAAATAAAAATTGTCTGCATCAATTGCAAGACATAGAGGCCAAGTGCAATCACGTTTCTGTTCCAAATAATTTTAATAAGTTGTAATTAACATGTCAACATTCTTAGTTTATTTTTATTTTTTCACTATTCTATATTTCACTTATAGATATTTTCCATAAATGCATAAAAAAAATCCGCGGTCTACTCATGACCATTTTCTAGAATGAACAAAGCGTTGTTAGATAAAATTAACAATTCCACTGTCGTTTAGTCGTTTTCTGCAAACGTTTTGGTTTAACTTCATGCAGTAAGACTCGAATTGCACCCCGATTTTACAATCGGCGACCTCGTCAATTTTCTACTCCTCCGAAATTAATTATACTATTGCGTTTATTCTGCCCGTTTAAAATAAATAAATAATAGAAAAAAGAAGAAACAATTATCTAAAATATCTAAAATACTTTGTTAATAGACTCTGTACAGAGAATTTTCAGAGTCCGTAAGACCTTTCCCGAGCATTCCGTTCCAACAAGATGCAACGTCCAAACTTTGATCGAAAAATGTAATTTATTCGCTCTAGATGATTTCGAGAGGTGCATTTTTGGGAAGTGCATACCCGAAAGGGTAGAGATTGCATAATGCAGTAATGGAAGAATGTGTAATAAAATAGTATCTAGTCACTATTATATTATATTACTCGGTTTCGTGTAAATGCACTGCTATTCAATGAAACTGTCTCAAATGTAGAAGCTAACGAACATTAATTTGCTTTCTACAAATTGTTAAATCAAATTCCTGCGCTTCCCTCGCTCCTCTGTCTCTTAACTAGCCCCATTAAAGGTGCCAAGAAACTCTCCCCTTCAATCAAAGAACTTAATTTACTCGATCCGGATGATTTTCAAAGATGTATTTTTGGCATCATTCTCCTCCAAGTCTCTTCGATGGATCATCGAGCTTTCAAATCTCAGTCAGAAATTCTTCCAAACCATTAATTAATCGTCAAACCATTAATCCAAAATCTAAGAGGACCATCATTTTCCACGGTGCTCTTGACAACAGCTCAGAAATTCTACGACGATTTTTTTCATTATTCTCATACGACCCGCGATAACGAGTTGCGAAGCTGTCGTTTTCGCTCGGAAGCCCTAACGACACCGATCTATATTCGAGGTCACGGAGCGATAATCTCGTCAAGGGGCAAGGTATTCAGGGTCGTGTGACAGCGGTGAGTTTGCCTCGAACGCAAATGGGTTGTAAAAAGAAACGCGAGCAGCATTATTTCGACCTGCAGAACACGAATGTTATTTTTACGGGCGTTGATGGAGGAACTATTTCACTCGAGAACGTCGATTGAGTGGAATGGCAGAGAACTTTTCACAGTGTTCACGATTTGAAATGATCTACTCGTGTTGTCAGTAGAGAGGAAACCGCTGACCGACAGTGATCGATCGGGCCCTGAGAAAACTTGGCTGGAACGTCGCATTAAAAACGGATTTTTACGCGAACCTCTCTCGTTGATTCTAGAACCTTGTCTGCGAACAACGAGTCAGGCGAATGGGACAATTCTCATCCGAATAAATTATCTAATTCCTTGAAAAACGTAAAACTACGCAGCAGAGTACAGTACAAACTAAACGTGATCTTGGCCTTTTTTACAATGACCGGCTGTCGTATGTTAATCGTATCACTAATAGTGCATTCGTTTTCGTAAGAACTTTAGGGATCCTTTTACGTTCGAAACTTTATACAAGGTGTCCCAAATTTATGTTACTTCCAAGTTAAATTGATCAATTAAACTAGGGGTTCCTGAGGTGATTCGAGGTAACTTTTTCCTTTAGAAAAATTTTCTCCGAGGCATCGTTAACGAGTTATCGCCGAAAAACACTGACCAATGAGAAGCGAGCTCGGCTGCCGCGAAACGAAGCCCAGATTCGCTCACTGGCTCGGCCGCCTAGCGCCAGCCAAGCGTTCACTTCTCATTCGTCACTGTTTTTCGTTAATAATTCGTAAACAAAACCGCGAATTGCATTTACGCAAAGGAAAAAGTTACCTCAAATGACCTCAGAAACCCTTCATTTCCCGAAAGTATCATAATTATGAGACACCCCGTATAATTCATACGTACTATGTCACTTAGCTACCGATATTGTAGTCTCTTCAGCACAACATATTAAATTCATCTGCTTAAAAGGACACTTTGTTATATCTCGTCAATTTTCTACTCCTCCGAAATTAATTATACTATTGCTACTACTATTATACTAATTATACTACTGCCCGTTTAAAATAAATAAATAATAGAGAAAAGAAGAAACAATTAGAAAAGATGTCTAAAATGCTTTGTTAATAGACTCTGTACAGAGAATTTTCAGAGTCCGTAAGACCTTTCTCGAGCAAGAACGGAACCATTCAACTCTAACTTCCTGCGCAAATCCAGAAAAGCCTGAGTCCTCTGTTCCGTGAAGCTTCTCAATAACTTCGGGAACTTCGTAACCAAGACGCAAAGTCATATCCAGTCTCCATAGAGTCTCCTAGGGGAGCGTAAATCGAAAACAGATCCTCATGCGTTCCCGCTTACCATTGCCTTAGATTTAATACGAAACCTGATGCACGGATGCACAACGACTCGATAATGGAACGTGCGCTCTTCAATATTTCATCCTGGGGGAATCGCACAAAGCGTTTCCATGCGTGGAGATGAAAAGAAATCGGCGGAGAAACAGAATTTCCTTCGGAGCGACGAGGAAAGCCGGGAGCGTTTCGATTTTTTTTACCGTTTCGATTCCGGCGTACGGTTTCGACGAGAACTTTGACGCTCGGTCAAAAGACAAGCAGGTGGAATGCGTGATGTAGGGGGTCTTATTTTAGCGTACCTCTCGTAGGATATAAAAGTACTACTTTCGATACTCATCATCAATTAATTTCGAAGTACAGAGTGAATAAGATGGCAGTGGATAAAGTGAATTTAACCTTTTAGGCAGGACGCGCCGCTATAGACGGCCGAACGACGAACAACAAGGGCCCACAGTCGAGGCCTGAATTTTTGCGGCAGTGAAACGTCGACTTCCGAACGAACGCGTCGAATAAATGATTATCCGCGAACGAGTCTCAGTGATCTTTCTTAATGTCCACAAGTGATTCGGATTATCAGTGATTAATTAACTGATCAGTGTTTGGTGACAGTGCAGTTTCGAGTTACCCGAAAGATGGCAACGAGTGGTTGCAAATAATCGATATTATATTACTGATTAAAATGTAAAATAAACGTTGTTGAAATGTTGACTTGGAAACGTGGAATTTGTCACTGGCATTGCCGTATCTTTTAATAATATCCCGCTTCCGCGTTGCGTCGCGTTGCGTTTGTTTCCCTTTACGGCAGCGAAATTTCATTTGTACCAGCTGGCCCCGGCAAAGAAAAGGCAAGGCGCAACGGCGAATTATCGAATTATACAGCGCGCGAACGTGTCCGTAATAAACCGTTAGTTTCGCGAGCGATAAACAAATTATATCCCGTATCGTAATTTCATTTCGCTTCTAAACTGCTCGCCGATATTATCCCGCGCCGCGTGAGAATGGGCCGGCCGCGCACAAATTGAACAGAAATTAACATTCATCCAGGACTCCGAGTAAATAATTACCGTAGTTTCCGCACGCGCCGAGTGTGCTCGATTCTTTCGGTGAACGATCGGTTTTTATCGAGTGTTCGATTCGAGGGCACTGAAGGGAGACATTGGAAATAATGGTAACGGATAATCACGAGAGCTTGCGTTGACGGTGATTGACCAGCGCATTTTCGCGTTTATTTTGTTAACACGTTGAACGCCACGCCGGTTTTACAGAAATTGTCCGTGGCGCCGCGATGGATTTTCTTTTATTTGATACTTTTATTATCTGCAACAGATAAGTTACAGTGTATAACCATGTTTGACATGTTAATTGCGACAGGGGTTACTGTTTGAATCGACGATGGTAATAATTCAAAATTTTAGATATTGGCATCTGTTTGAAATTATATATATTTCTATCAATTTGGGCGCGCCGCTCGCCGGTGGCCCCCATGGCGTCACCGTCAAGTTAAGCGCCGGTCACCGGTGGCCCCCATGTCATTCAACGTGTTAACGAAGAGGCATCGTTTGAAACAAGAGAAAGAAGATATCGTACGAACACTTTCAATTTATTCAGATAATTAGAGAATTTATGAAGTTTCTGAGTGACTACCGTTTCGTACAAATTACTGCAGAAGACTTTTATTTTGCAATTACGCCCCGATGAGTGCTTCGTCGCCGACTGTTCTCGCGCACGAGGTAATAAAATTAGAACGGGGATAATAATTTAGAAGTCCGTGCCAATAAGAAGCACTCGCGAGGGACCGCTAGAAAGCAGGAAACACGCGCGCGTGAAATTCACGGATGCGAACCGTTCTCTGGAAAGAAAAACAACGGTGCTCCATTTAATCGTTCGATCGACGGGGATGTATAGTGTTTACGCAGCCCCGTGTCGCAAACATTCATTTTTCCGAGTGGAATAAAAATGCACGACCTCGTTCCGGTGAAGTACATTGTAAAATACGGCGAGTGCAAACAATGGCGGTGAATTAAGTATCACGAACGAGAGCCTGGACGGGGATGACAGGGGCGGGAGAATGTCCCCGATTCATTAAACACTGTTGATACTTCACCGAGAGCTGAATTCGTCAGTTTTCCAGCGGTGCTTTCTCTGTCGCGGAATTAGTCAGCGGAGGAAATGGCGGTTTATTTCGGGCCGATCTGAAAATACGCGCACACGTCCCGCCCCAGAGGCTCAGTTCTCGAACCGACGAGATAGGACCATGGCTCTTAAAGACTGGCTGCTCTCAACGATCGCGATTACGATCTTGATAGGTACGTACCTGGCCAGAACACCTCGTGAAAATCACACCTGAACGGCCGTGTCCAGTCGCCGTACTTAACACTTCGTTTTCGGAGCGCTAAAAGCAGCCATTTTACTTTGCCCGAGAGAAATAACGAAAATACGTTTGCGCAGATTTCGAACGATTTTTATCGTATTGTGTGCCCGGAGTAATCCACGAATGTATGTCCGCAATCTTAATAATCGTAAATTGAAACATTTGCAAACAAGTCGAGCGTTAAATGAAGTGCTTCCCGGTGCCGGATCTCCATGAAAAGAGTGAAATTGCGGACTCCTCTCATTCGCATCCGTTCGTATCGACAATTTTATCCAAAGTTACCTGAACTCTAGATCTCGATAGCCAGCGTAAAGATCGACGTTGAACAATGATAATTTGCCGAAATAATTTGCTCACAGTGTGACTGATAAAATATGTAGTTCATTGTGAAAAATTCGTCTAGGCGATAAATTGTTAACAAAGCAGGTGCAAAAGTGTGAAGAAAAATTGATAATTAAGGTACAAGTTCTTGTTCGTTGTGTTTCGATTGTTTAATAAACGACGAGTGTCTTGTGTTAAACGAACTTCCTCTGCACATTCTTTTTGATTTTCATCTTTTCGGATGACTTTGGATTTATTTTTCGAAGCCGAGATGATTTCTATAGTTCCATCTACGTAGTATTCAATCTGTCACAAATGTCGACCTACTTGAATAAATGACGCTGTTCAATTTACAGTAAATTCTCTCTAATTGACGCACGGATTATATACAAAAATGATCAATTTCAGAATATATCCGTCAACTCCTCTTCCCAAATTGTCCATTACGTTATTCGTAAAGACATGCAAATGAATCACAAACATAAACGGATAATTTTCCTTCTTCTCGAATTTGTTTAATTTTATCTAAAAAATTAATCAACGCCCCTAAACGATGCGATCTCGTAGCTTTGCCCTTAATTGTTGCACTTTAAAAGCTGCGTAGACTGTTGCGGCCGATATTGTATTATTTTGTGATATATATATATATAATATAATAATATATATATTATTATATATAATATATATTATTATTATTTTGAGATATATATATTTCTTGAGATAACACAATGACGGTGAGTTTGGACTGCCTCAGAAAATATAGTCTACTATTTATTTTTCAAATACCTGATTGACACTCCAAAAAATCGAATAAAATAGAAATATCTCTTGAGAAACCCTAACAAACCATGAGTTCTAAATTTAGAACGCGGTGTAACAGTGTCGAAAGTATGAAGGCAAATATAATAATGCTTCCAGAAGCGATATTGTCACCACTTTTGGGACGTAACTTTTACGAGTAACTGTTTCTTGACATAAATAAATATCCGTTTCCTTCGGTCGCGGGGGAGCAACCGAGAACAGCAGACCGCAGCACTCGTCCTAAATTCTCTGTTTCCGGAAAGCTCCGGATCATTTCAGCGTACGCTCTATGTTAATTAATTGTGTTTTCGTTTCCGCCAGGAATATCATCCGTCTCTGCTTGGAACCCGGATATACACCGGTACGTATTCCATTGTAGCATCTTTGTGAACGTTTCGCGAGACGAGAACAATTCAAGATTCGTTATAGAATATTTTACGGGTACTAAAATGAAAAGAATAATGAGAGATATATGTATATAGAATTTAAAAATGGAACTCGCTTTGCAATTTAATTGCTTCATCAACCCTTATGTAATGTATGATGCATTAACCTATTTCTCTTTCCATTATCACATCCACTTCCAACGTCATACATGTGCGATGTTCACGATCTTCTGCTCCCCATCAAACTAATTTCATGAACGTTGACGTTATATGTAGGGTAATAATCAGAAAGTCTAATAACATTTGATTGTATAATTATCGTAGTATTTTATAAAAGGATGTACACTACATTTAACGAAACACTTCAATAGGGTAGGTATACCACGATAAAGCGATGGAAGTGAACGAGTTGATAAAAATTTCTTAACCCTTTGCACTCGAGTGGTGACTCTGAAGCACCGCTAAAATTTGTTATATCACGTTCTAAACTAATTTTTATTACATTAACAAAGTTTAGAATTTTTTAAAATTGTTAAAAGTGTAACCGTGGTGTAAGTCGCAAGACTCAATTTCGCACGCATAAAATGCACTTTGTCATATAAAATGAAAATACTATAAATCAGAAAAATGGTTTTAGATCTGATATTTTGCACTCACAATGTTCTGTATATGGAATCCTGAATTGTCTCCGATTAAAAACGATATGAAACAAAGCCATGCACATTTCATTCTTATAGTCTTGACACTTTATTATCCGGAAGCCTTACAATGAGACCTTATAATAGACCTTTTAATGGCTGTGCTGTATGTGAAAGAAGCTCGGCAATTTTCTTTTCAATAATAGTTCGAAAAGAAGTTGTTACATCATATTATTCCAAATAATTTGTTGGATTATCAATGAAATTGCTGTCGCTTTCTAACTATTATTTTTTTTTAAAACTCCCAATTGCAGATCTTCGTCTTTAATATCACTATTCGAAAACTGCCGGTAGATAAAATGTTAAGGGTTTTCTATCCAAAGAGATCACATTCAGACAATATAGCACGCAACCGTTCAAATTCGAAGACCCTCGACCCGAATACTACAACCTGGCAATTCTTGCGGATCGTTTTTCATCCAACGAGAAAAATTCCAGACAATGGATCGCGACCGTCCGAATTCGAGGATCCTCGATCTGAATCTTAAGAAGCTCCGGTTGCAGTTTCCTTTGCGGTTGCCGGTACGAAATTGTTTCAGTGTCTCGTGGAAAGTGGAGAAGACAAATGACAGAGACGCCTGAGACGTGATAAAATTTCATATCCGTGACCAGGTCCCTCTATTTTCCCATTGTTGAAACGCGCGGAAACGTTGCCCAACAAAACGAACAGAAATCCTTATATCGTACTCCCATTCGAGTTACTGATTAAAAACACCGACACTGTGTATGTGTGTTTCTACAGCTCGAATTACGCATGGATTATGAATTAATCGGTCGCCAAATCAACGTCCGTCGAAATCCGATAACATCGAAATATTTCATGCTGTGACGCGGAAAATAATCCGAAATCTCATCTCGTTGATTATTCTGTTAATCGCAACGTTTTTCCTTTTTTTATCCCGCTTGCGTTCCTCTCGCATCCCTTCGCCAAACCGCGGAAAAATATGCGTCTCTTGCAATCAATTTGGTAAAAATGCTATTAACTCCTTGTTTTATAATAAATCAAACTCGTGACGAAGAATTTTGAACAGAATCGGACAAACCGCGAATTGATGCTCGTTTAACTTCACAATTTAGCAATAAAGATTAGATAGCCATTAGAGAAAGATTAATACGTTGACTGGCTGCTAATAACTTCAAAAGTTCCATAAAAACGAAGGAATTATTTAGTGAAATAAAAATTGAGAAATTATGATGATGATGATGATACAGATCTTTGTGCAAAATAGAAATGTTGTGCATCAATTGTGAGAAACTAATTAAGTTGGTCAGAAACTAATTCCTTTTTCGGTAAATATTGCAACAATCTCGTCAAATTCTTTTAATGTTCCATCTGTTTCGTGTTCCACCTAGTTATTTGTGTCATAAATGAATAAAATCCGCAGTCTAACGATGATAGTCAATAATTCTCCAATCTTTTCGCATTTTGCATAGAAATACTGAATAAATTGCTCAAAAATTGATTTTTAAAGAAAAAGACGATTGAATCAGCATCGCTAAAAAAGACGAGGGGTTGAATAGCTACCAATTAGAATTGTTCACCAGAAAATTAGAATATAGAAGGACATTATCGAGAAGAAACCACCATCGAACTTGTAGTCTCGAAGTAAACCCGTGCTTACATTTCGACTAAACCCCAGCGAATCACGATCTAATCACATTTTTCTCGGCAGCTACGAAAGCTACGACCTGGACAGAGGTCCGGTGTTCTACGAAGCCTATTATCCGGACAATAACGACGAGTCCCATGGGAATTACCAAGAGAAACGGTACTTCGATCGCGAGGCGGTCTTGGAGAAGACGTACCAAGTGCCGTCCCAGCATTTGTCGTACCCGGAAAGGACCGTTCGACTGGGGATCCCGCAGGACCAAGCAGGCGATCCTCCGCAGGAGGTTCGTCTACCGACGGAGACACGGGACCAGCCTCTGGACATCAAGGAGATATCGAACCTGGCCAGACGAGCAATCTCCCGCGACCTGGAGAACTGGAACACGCTGGAGAACTATTTGGACCGTGCCAAATACCAGGATTCCCCGTATCGTCGGAGGATCGTGATTCCCGAGCCGAGGTACGGGGCCCAGGAACCGAATCGAGGGATTGGAACGGGTCCGCAGAACACGTTCGAAGATCGACGAGACTTCAGCCGCGACTTGTACGAGGAAGTTCGGGAAGAACCGTTTCGAAGGGTGCCGGAAGCGATGAGGAGAGTATCCGCCAGGGATCTAACTGGAAGGGACGCCGTGGAGAACTTCGGATCGGTTCGGTATCAAGATCAAGATCCCGAGGACGTTGCCAGGCTCCGAGGAGCGAGAGACAGCGTGCCGTTGATGAGAGACACGCCGGATCAAAGGGTCGTGGACTCTTTTCCGCCGGAGAACATCTTTGCCCCGCGTCCTCAGGTTATCAATTACATCTTCTCGAAGAAACCGATTGTATCTGCGGAGAGTGGTAATCAGATTGGTTCCGAGACGAAGGAGGAGAAGCCCTTGCCTAGAAATTATGGGGATAATCTTATTCAAGAGGAGATGAAGAAGCAAGAGGGGAAGGATGTGAAGGTCACTTCGATCGAGGTCAGCGAGGTACCCAGACACAAGACCAGGCATCATCATGGCGAATGGCCGAAGCGGGATTATTCGAAACGACAGCAGCAGTGAAGATCCACAATTGAAGTTATTATAATTATCTGCTAGGAGATTAACGCTGAGGAGAAGTTTCAGGGGCCTGAATCTTTGAGGGTTCTACGGGGTTGGTTGCTGTGAACAGGACTGCAAGGGTGACTTTGCGCCTAGTGGACAAAATGGGGGGAAATTAATGTATGATAAAAAATTTGTATCGCATTTGATATTGTGTTGAAATTGCAGTGGTTTTTTGTGTTCATACAATGAGATCGGTGAGGAGGAAGTAGTTAATTGGTTTATCGAAGTTATTGAGAGACCCTACCTATCTCCTGCTTTGATTGCTTTATGTCTACGTCGCTTTTTTGTAAGAGAAATTTTCCTACGGAAAGAGTCTTCAAGCACCTGTGGAAGCAGTTCGAAATAATGAGGAATGAGGGAAGAGATAAAGGGTGAGATAACGGGATCACAAAATGGAAGATAGGAATAGAAAAAGGATCACTATGAGATACGAAGAAAAGATAACGACCAGAGGAGATAGAATATCTAGGACAGTAGGGATCTATTATAACGGGATTTAGGAAGGAATTTTCAAAGGTCTCCTTGCCCTTATGTCATGCAAATAAAATTTATTTATTATTACATAAATGTAGAACAGATGATTCTTGCCAATTTTGCTATAGGATGCAATATAGAGACCGGCAGAAATTACTTGCTGTTTAGCGACGGTGGCGCCTCTTATGGCGAAATCCAGAAACTTTATTCAGAATCTATACAGCGCCGATTCGTAAGCGGCGAAAAGCTAAAACTGCTAGTCAAACGCGATACCGACCGACATCTCGAAATTCTAAATAAAAATGATTAACCATCGATTTTTGCTAACAGTTACAACGCTATTAATTTTTCCCTAATTTGCGTTCAGATTGCGCACAAAAATGGACGATTTGGGAAGAAGAGACACAATTATTCGAGCTTTGCGGCTCGTTTTTATAGTTATCGATTGTCGACAACTATAAAAACGAGCCGCAAGGCTTGAATAATCGTATCTCCTCTTCCCAAATTGTCCATTTTTGTGCGCAATTTGAGCACGAATTAAGAAGAGATTACTGTAATTGGCGCTGTATATATCTTTGAACTAGAGGCCCTCTAAGTAAGTCGCTTACAATTCAAAAGAGCTTTTTCTTCTCCCAATTCAAGAAATAAAATAAACGGTTTAGTCTTTCTAAAAGAATATAAATGCAAGTTTCAGCTTTGTTTTTCAAATTTTTACAAATAAAAATCATACAAAATTGCGAAGTTTTTCGTAACACACAGTGTGTGTAGCATTTAGACAATCAGGAGAGCGAGACGCGTGACGGGAATCAGAAGGCGTAGCCCTCGCGAACCTCACATGTCGCATACCGATAATTCCGAGCCCCGATCTGAGATATCTGGATTTTGGTTCATGTGTATAATATTGTAATTTGATGCACAATATTGTAATTTGAACTATCTACTGTACAAATATAATTTCTAAGACATCAATCTTGTTATTAAAACTGAACTATCAATTACAAATTACAAAGAGACATTGGAAAAGAGAAAAGCCACATTAAGTTGACTGAAATATTTATTTCTTACGCTACAGCAATAGTATTATAATGTTCTACAACAACGTTTACGTATATCACTATGCTTTGTCTACGTTAAACATTCGTAACTATTAATTACAATAATACAACCATACAGGTATTAACAAGTAATAACCGTGNTCCCAAATTGTCCATTTTTGTGCGCAATTTGAGCACGAATTAAGAAGAGATTACTGTAATTGGCGCTGTATATATCTTTGAACTAGAGGCCCTCTAAGTAAGTCGCTTACAATTCAAAAGAGCTTTTTCTTCTCCCAATTCAAGAAATAAAATAAACGGTTTAGTCTTTCTAAAAGAATATAAATGCAAGTTTCAGCTTTGTTTTTCAAATTTTTACAAATAAAAATCATACAAAATTGCGAAGTTTTTCGTAACACACAGTGTGTGTAGCATTTAGACAATCAGGAGAGCGAGACGCGTGACGGGAATCAGAAGGCGTAGCCCTCGCGAACCTCACATGTCGCATACCGATAATTCCGAGCCCCGATCTGAGATATCTGGATTTTGGTTCATGTGTATAATATTGTAATTTGATGCACAATATTGTAATTTGAACTATCTACTGTACAAATATAATTTCTAAGACATCAATCTTGTTATTAAAACTGAACTATCAATTACAAATTACAAAGAGACATTGGAAAAGAGAAAAGCCACATTAAGTTGACTGAAATATTTATTTCTTACGCTACAGCAATAGTATTATAATGTTCTACAACAACGTTTACGTATATCACTATGCTTTGTCTACGTTAAACATTCGTAACTATTAATTACAATAATACAACCATACAGGTATTAACAAGTAATAACCGTGTATAGGAAAATATTTCGTCTTTTACGATCGCGAAATCAGCAACATATTACAGCACTGACGGGAATACTCGTAACAATACGACGATTTCTTTTATTTTTAACGAAGATTCTTGAAGGAATGTCCACGCAATCGCGTTTGTCTTACTCTTCATTCGAATGAGACATTGTACGGGGACGATGGAACTTATTAGTTAATAAGTTGGAACACAACTTCGTTTGGTGGATAATCTCAGGTATCTATATCTAGAATATTTATAATTAATTCATCGAACTAATTCTTCCTCCTCTACCCCTTTTTCTTTTCGATAGCGAATCTGTTTCTCCCGGTGTTATCGTTCCGCAAATCGATAGTCACCCACACGTCGATCAGATTTTTTTCTTTTCAGTTCGAAAATCATTTCGTACTCACGGCGAGAATCGAAACTAATTCGCTACCTCTCGTACAACATGCAAACACTTATTTACTATAATTTAAATTGTACAAACGATCAACTAGCGTCTAGACTCGTACACGATCCACTTCGATGTATAAATAGCAGTTTAAAAAACAAAATACAATAATACTCGCAAAGGATTAATAAATTCCTAGTCATGCGTGTAGCAAATGGACTGCGAAACTGCGTAAATTTATACTCTTATAGATTTAAAGTAACAAAAAGATTACATGCTATTCACCATTAACAGTAGTGGGGAAAAAAGGAATTATAAACATTTGACGATTTTCATAGACCGTAAACGCATAAAGGCAGTCCAATAATAAATAACAACTTTGGATTCTTAAATCCACAACCTTTCATATACGTATATACCGCTTCAACACTAAATAGTATTAAGTTTCTTCATGCTTATGAGATTAATACCTTACTGGAAGGTATGTACAACTAAGGCTTTTATTCATCTTCGATCAGTCCGAAGATATAAAAATAAATTCTTTCCCCCTATGAAACGCTCAACGAGCGTATAATATAGAAAACTTTAGAACAAACGAGTTCCTGTCACTTGAAAGATCATATATTTTAAAAAATAGAAAGTTGCACACAATAAATAAAGCACTATCATTCGTTAAATTTGTATAGTAAACTTCGGCGCATACAAGATCTTAGGCATCCTGCATACTCATATAGTTACTCTTCAATATTACAAATATCTTACTGCTGTATAAAATTATCTGTCTAAATCCATTCCCTTTTCTCGACATGGATCTACCGTACAGCCCGTTGTGTAACAATTACTTATTACTACGAGTTATCTAATGATATATAAAAATAATTATGACCTAATGTCAGGCAAATGTATTCTTTTGGGAAGCATTAATTTAACAGTCTGCAAATGTATGAATGATTTAAAACGCCTTATGTAGTGTATAAATGTATGTTTCCATTTATACCACCTGCTTCTATTTTATACCAGCATCGGATTTTTGTTGGATATTCTCGTTTATAAACTCTTTTAGCTCCTCATATGCTTTATTAACGTCGTCGTTTACGATTATTAAATCAAAGTTACCAGACTTCTGACCTACAATAATTTCAAAATGCAGAATGTTATAATCTTGTTTTGTACGACTGCTACACACATTAAATGCGTATTATACCGTATTCTATTTCTGTCACGGCGATTGATAATCTATTCTGTAAAGCCTCCTCTGTTTCAGTTTTCCTGTTCCTCAATCTTTTCTCTAGCTCGTCCATGTTTGGTGGCTTGATAAATACGTACAATGGATTCAGAGAAGTTTGCTTCACTTGTTTCACCCCCTGCATTTCAATATCTAATACACAGATTTTACCTTCCCTTTGTACATCTTCCACCGATTGCTTCCTGAACAAATTAAAAGCTAAGTAATAAGACAAATATTGGAAATAATATTTAGTTCTCACAAACAATTACATAGTGCCATATAAGTTTCCACTAAATGTAGCAGTCTCAAGGAATTCTCCCGTTTCTATCTGTTCCTGCATCTTTTCTTTGGATGTAAAGTAATAATGCTTTCCATCTTCTTCTCCTGGCCTGGGTTTTCTAGTGGTATGTGAAATAGAATATCCATATTTTTCCGGGTATTCCTCAAATAGCTTCTTTATCAATGTACTTTTTCCACTTCCCGATGGACCACACACAACTAATGGACGTGGACCTTTTTGAAGCATGTTATAGACACCTAAAAATAATTGCAACAATTATATATACATTATAAATTGCACCATCAACTTCAATACACTATGCATAACTCGTTCATATAAAAAGTATTAAATGCTATTATAGAATTAAACGAACACCTAAGACTACATGACAAGCAAATTTAATTAAGCTATAGAATCACTTCGTACCTGTAGTGATTGCTCTAAGAACAGAAAATGATATCATACTTAAAAGATATATGTACTGTCATCTAAAAGTCCTCAGAGGCTATAAAAAACGAAAGAGTTTGCGGAAAGATCACTGTATCTCTGAGAATTCTTAAGAATCAACAATCAAAAAACATAAATATTGTTCCTAACATGAATTTCCATTTAAATTTCGATAACATTCACTGAAAGCGTTAAACTTCGTTAAATCGAGAAAAGCTGTGTCAAGCGGTGACAAAGAATACGAATATGCGGCAGCGTTGAACACAGTCGAGCGGTTGATTAGAGATGCCGGAAATCTTATAATTAGAGAACGGTCAGCAGAAAAACGGGCGCGTAATATTAAATAGGAGTGCAGTAACGGTGCACCGGCATCGAAACCGGCATCGTTCGTAACGTGTTTAAATGATTACGAGCCATGGGGTGAAGTTCGACTGCAGACCTTTCGAAATATTGATTTTTCAAGAGAAAAACATACCGCAAATTGTGCAACTTCCGTTACATGACCATTCACCGGCTGAGACAAAATCCTGGTGCATTTAATTTATTAACATAGCGAGACATTCGTCCGATTCGAGACGAGCCAACTGTGCACTCCTCTTTATAAATAATCTTGTCGAAACGCGATGCGAACGTAAAACACGAACAAATTTGACTTCATTGAACACATCGCACAACCCATGAACTACCCTCTCCAGTTTCTATTTGGCTTTGGAAAGAAGAAATTAATCAGTTGGTTAAGATTCTCTCACTCACCTTAACAGAAAGCGCAAATTGACGGATTAAAATAGAAAACCACTAGAAACGTGTTCGGTGCAAACAGGAAAAAAACCAGAGAGGCCTGCAGACGAAAACTGAACAGCGCGAAACACAAGTTACTCGGCTATGTTATACATGCACACACATACACTATGTACAATATTCACGTTTCCGTTTAATATTGAGCGCATGCGCATACATTGATGCGGCTAACATAAAGTCACATTTGATTGTTTAGATTATGTAAAAAATGTACATTTGTTTCAGGAAACGTTTTCATATGTCTAGGATAAAATAAATTTTGAATTTCGTTAAAATATCCCTGTATATCAGCGCTATACATATTGGTGTTAAAGTGAAGATTGTTAAATTACTTGTTGATTTATGACCATTATATTTGACAAAGATTCCAATTATTTATTTTGCGTAGTAATAGGAAATATTTCTGTGGACTTGCTCTTATTTCATGTTTTATTTCGCTACCTAATGTCCCTTTTACAAGCTAGTACTTTTAAAAGGAAGATCTCTAGCGCTGTTGTAAGACTATACGTTTGATAACAGAAACAAGTGATACGTTCGCAAGTTCGGAATGTCGATAACGTGACATATCTTATATAAATAATTACGTAAACTCTTTGGATAACAAACAGTAACGTAATTTCAACATAAGGTATAGACTATTTTAATTAAAGAACGTTCGATATGATAGACAGCAAAGAATAAAACGACCGT